CGTCTGTGTCTGCGTCTGTGTCTGCGTCTGCGTCTGTGTCTGTGTCTGTGTCTGTGTCTGTGTCTGTGTCTGTGTCTGTGTCTGTGTACGACAGTTCAAATTTTTCCTCACCCTTGCCCTGGTTCTGCTGCTGATTGGACATTCATGTCCACGACCTCTTCACTTGAGGGAAAACCGACCATGCCGTCCCGGCAAAGAGGGTTAATGGAGAGTCAACGACCACAAACAAGCACTCACTCACCGACCACAAACAAGCACTCCCTCACCGACTCTCTGTCTCCAGCTGGGTCACCGACACCCGGCCCAGCCTCAGCTCCTTGGGTCCCAATATGTCCTGCAGACGAGGCTTGCGCACCCAAAGGAACGTCACACCCTCCAGCCGCCCTACCTTCTCGGGATGTTGAGTGCTGAACTCGTACGTCGACCCACCAAGCAGCTCGTTGGGGCTGAAAGGTCAACCAACAGGTCACGGAAAAGCCACAGACATTCAAGTACATGTAGTTAATAATTTGATGTTAGTTTATAGTTTTTAGTTTAGTTTTAGTAGAGGTGTTACGGAGCTTGCAACGCAATAGGGTCATATCAGCGCCGAAGATTAGGTGTTACAAGAGAGTAACAAACACAAAAAAGGAGGGGAGAGATAAAAACGATAGATGTTGGATAGAAAAGAAAGAGCAAACCACACCAGAGCACCCACCAATCACCCACAATTTAATGTTAAGCACAGGCAAAATGTAACCCAGCGAACAGCCACACTGGATGAGGCCATCAGTTTTCCACTGCCCTCCCCTGTATCAGTCTCCACCCACTGGCAGCACATATTGTGCAATGATGAAGTCTGCCACACTCCTGATCTTCTGGTAGGAAAGATCTACACCTAGCCTTCTCGGACAAGGGCGAAAAATCTCGGAGGGCCCGTGTGCAAGTTGCGCACGTTAAAGATCCCTTGGTGGTCTAAAATCGATAAGAGTAGGCTTCGGCCGCCACCCGGGCAAAATTCAAAATTTCCTACCAACTGAAAATATTAGGAGTATTCCGCGCGCTCATATGACCTATGCAGTTGCGAGCGCCGTAAAACACTTTACAAAAACAAACAAAAAACAAATGGAGGATACTCTTAGCCATGTTATGTCACTGCAAGCGCTGCTTTTCTGCGTTGAACCTCCACATGTTGATTACAAGAAAGGAAACTCTACAGCATTTTAAAGAAACGATATTTGTACATTTAATCATGAATGGTGCTCGTTGTCCCTGCGATTTCCTTGCCGAAAAACAACAACCCGTCGTTGTTAAACGTTTATGACGAGTGTAAACTGGTATTCTTGTGAATAATATTATGTTTGGTCATCTTCTGAACTTGAAATCTTGCAATAGTGACGATTTGAACATTTTGGCTGAGCAACGTTTTACAGCCGACCTTTTTATGGGTACATGAAGGTGAGTTTGTGTTTGTAAGCATTTGAATGTATGTGTGTGTGGGTGTATATATGTGTGTGTGTGTGTGTGTGTGTGTGTGTGTGTGT